ACAAAACTAGTTACATGATGTATATCATAAACTGTATTTGCTTGAGATACATTCCCACCAGCTAAAGAGTGGTTGCTCTATTTTTCTTTTGTTATAAAACACCAATCTAAATACTGTTACTACTATATCTACTATTAATACTACTATTACTATTATATTTCTATTTGTGAATGTAAAGGTTCAAGTGTTTCTGTTTGTGCGGCTATTTAACAACTATACAAACTATTTTTCTCTTATCTGTCACCTGAATTATAAATGAACAAATAGATTAAGCCAAACAGCTGCTGGTATTCTAACAGCACACTGAGTAACAATGCCATCCTCTTAGTAAAGATGTCTAGCTCATTGGTAGAGCTTTGGGCAAATAGTGGACAAGTGAACAGCAAAGGCTGAGGTATGATCCTTAAAAGGGTTGGTGCATATTACCCTGAACCTGCCAACTGATTGGGTGGTGCTGGGCAGTGCTTTGTGACTCACACTATCTTATTAACATTTCCTTTGTTTCTACCTACATTTATATACAAATTAAACTAAGCATAACTGACTATTAAAGGATGAAAATTTTTTTTGCAATTTTGATGGAATTCTGGGGCATTTTTTTCCCATTCAAATCATGAATTTGTTTTGCACATGCTAATGCATGAAAAAACACTATATAAAACTCACTGTTTTTAACCATAATGTTGAATATGTTAAAATTACTCACCTTCTAACAAGAAAAATCAAAGGTGGTGTTACAAATTGCCCCAAAACATAGTTGATTTATTTAAGAATATAGGATGATTTATTATGACATGTTTCTAATTTGCATTTAGACATATTGTATTTATTTTCAATTTTTCTAGTTGAATTATTTGCCTATATTGCATGTGATCCATTATTGTACATAATTAGGTTAGAATAAAATTTGTATTTTATATGAATGCTACCTTATGAAAATTTGTTGTATTTTGGGGGCGCATATCATAGAATCAGGGTGGGGGTGTTAGCCAGCTGTTGTATTCTGGTACCTACTGTGAGCAAATAAAAACAGAAAATAAAGCAATGAATTTAGTTGTCAGACTTGCAACCCTGCAAAGACTGGCATCACATTTAAGTTATCCTAATTTATAAAAAACACTTTCACAAAAAACTGGCTTGTAACTTTTAAAAAACGAAATGAATATTATTTCATCACTACTGAGCAGACCCTGAATTTTCTTCTGTCATGACAAATGGTTGTACTCCCAATGAGGCCTCTTCCTCTAAGTTCACCAAGTTGTACTTATATATACAATACATTGTAAAAGATACTAGAAAAATGATTGACTCTTTGTATCATTCCTGGAAGTAGTTGATTTCTTCTGCCATGCTTTATATTTACAAGATTCAGATCAGACCAAAAATTGAGTATTGCTGCCATATCTGGATTGGAGCCACTCAGTCCTCATTTCTCAACATTGAGTATTGATTGATTTGTTTATTACAGGTTATCAACCCTTTGTGGATTATGTAAAGCCAAAACATATTTTAGATTGTAAAAATAAGTATTTTCTTGTGAATGAACATTGCATTAACAATTTTTTCTGAGAATAGCAATGATTTTTTCAGATACAATTCCTACTATTTAACCCATAGCTGGAGAGAGGAGATTTAACCGTGATAAGAGTGCAAAATTGTTTACATGTTCTTTTGGAACCAACATCATGCCTGGATGTTTCCCTGAACACTACAATCAACCTCTTTCATACCCTCATAATCTTCACTTCTTAATTTCTCCTGAAATATTCATATCATACACCTCATTAACTAACTTCTACTTTGAGTGGCTCTTGGACCTTGTATCGATGGAACATTAGTATTTAAAAAAAAAACGCTTTAATTTGTCTTTTTTTTAATCAATTCACCCCAAACAAGGCAATAATGTCACTGAGATCCAAGGGGTTACTGAGAGTGAGAGAGAACAAAAAGACTTTAGAAGGAACTGGAAACCCAATCCTAAACAGGAAACGAGGGATAAACTTCTAATCTTGTTCAAAAGACAAGGGAGAAGTGTAAACTGGATGATAGTCAAACCTATTTACTCCTATTTAGGAAGAAAAAAACATTAGTAAATAAAATTTCAGAGTTCAGGCAGAGATATTAAAAGTATAGAGTTAAAGTAAACTTTAGAAAGAACCAGAAATATAAAAATCAATGCATACATATATATATATATATATATATATATATATATATATATATATATATATATATATATATATGATAAAATATTTAAAATACTGTTTTTGTAAATATTGATACAATGATTTAGGGTTTATAAACCAAATATGTTGAAAACTGTTATATTCCATGCTAATAGGAATATATACTTGAACAACATGGTGGATAAATAAATAAAGGTTTATTGTAGAAACCAGTACAATAAGAAATAAGATAATGGTTATGTACAAGGTTACCACAAATCAATCCAGTAGTGGGTGCTACTATTGGAAGGTTAGTAGTTCTCGTGTAAATCAGAGTCATACTCAACAGATCCCAGCAAGTCGGTATTTACTAGCCCCCCACACAAGGGTAGATGTGGCACAAGGCTGGATTTAACGTGGGTCTTCTGAGCCCATTTGCTCAGCCCAAAAATGCCTGTAGAACCCACATAAATGGGATTGGGTTGGTCAACCTCCCTAAATGAGACTTTGCCCTTTGGCAGAGCCTCGTCTGGGTTCCTTTCTGCCCGAAGGCAGAAAGTTTGATTGTCTAGTTGGAACAGATCCCAGCAAGTCAATATTTACTATCCCCCACCATGAAGGTAGATGTGGCACAAGGCCGGGTTTAACGTGGGTCTTCTTAGCCTGTAGGCTTGACCAAAAAATGCCTGTAGAACTTGCATAAATGGGATCGGGTTGGTCAACCTCCCCGAACAAGACTCTGCCCTTTGGCAGATCCTCGTCAGGGTTCCTCTCTGCTCAGAGGCAGAGAGTCCGACTGTTTAGATGGAATAGATCGCAGCTAGTCTCTCGTAGGCCATTGCCTTACAGATACTTATAGGTAGTTACTAACTATAGTGTAGTCACTCATGGGGGTAACAGGTTATTCCATTGCATCAAAAACTTCCATTCACTTTAATGTTTACATGTATAGTGATACATTCTGTTAAAAAAACTGGAGGAGTGTGAATCAGGTGATAGGTGAACCAATCTACTCCTATTGAGGAGGAAAAAATAAATAATTAGTAAATAAAATTTCAGAGTTCAGGTGGCGACATTAGAAGTATAGAGTTGAAGTAGACTTTAGAAAGAACTGGAAATCCAATCCTATAAAGGGAAAAAGGGATAAACCTCTACTCCTGTTAATAAGAGTTTGTTTTTAACATGAAAATTTGTAAAGTTTATCAAATTTATGAAAGGCTGTCAATTCAATTCTGGCTTCAAGCAATTCAGTAATGTGCACCAGCTCAGTTAAGAGGCAGAATGACACCATTATTTCTGAAATTTTTAAGGAAGGAAATGGGAACAGTAAATTCTCATGGATCAAATAAAGGGTTCCATTAGACAATTATGGAAGGTTACCAAATGTGACAGACAACTGTAGAAAGTCAAAGGGCAAAGTAGCCAGAATTTTCGGATAAAAAAAATATAAAGCCAAGCAAAAAAATTCAAGGCATAATTACAATGGCACCTCAGTTCAGAAAGGAGAAAAAGTTCAGAAGCCATAGTGATGTGACAATGAAAATAAAAAAATGGTTGTAAAGAATCAATGTATAATATTACTGTCACAGAATTATTTATTTTACATTTTTAGATAATGTATCCTCACTTTATTAACCTATTACATGCACTTCAACCAAACAGTACAGAATCAGAAATAAAGAGTTAGCTCCCAATGTGATTTGAATTCACATTCAACACTTCATTATCCAGTCTTTCAGGGATATGGTCTTAACCATTTTTACTATGGAAACATGGATGTGTTTTCTGTTTAATTGTGAACACTTTAATAGCCAGACTGGTTAAGGCAATGAAACTATGAAAGATAGGTTCTTGTGGGATGGGAAATAAATTCACCATAAATTAGTACTAAAATAATAGTACTAATGAAGAGTGTATTGACCCAGAGTGTTGGGATAAAAAGCAATAAGATAGAATAAAACTAGTACTAAAATAATAGTAATTGTGGTATGATCCATTTCACCCATTAATGGTTTTGTCCTGAACACATATATTCAGGAGAAGTCTGCTGATTTGGAGACTTTATCAAAATTCTGCAAGTTGAACTCTCTGCCTTTGGGTGAAAAGGAACTCAGATGAAGCTATGCCTATGGGTAGAGTCTCATCTAGAGTTGTAGACAGCCACCTAACCTCATGTATGCGGGATTTATGGAAAATTTTTGCCTGACCAAATTTGCTTGGAAAGCCCCACATTAAAAACTGGTCTTGTACCACATCCTGCCTTGTGGGGAGGTCTCAGGTAAATACAGAGTCAGCTTTGGCTCACTATAGACCTCTGTCTTTGAGCAGAGGGAGACTCGATAGAGCCTTTGTTTAGCGATGGAGACTCAGCTGAGAAAAACAAACAAGCAATGTACCAGCCTGCTTTTGCAGGGGTTGGGTAAATTTTAACCATTAACCCAAGTGGAAACACTCGAGTTCCCCACATAAACCTAGACCTTATGTTACATCTCATCTCAGTGTGGAGAATGGGTAAGTACCGAGTTTATTAAAACTCAATTGAGTTAGGCTGTTCACTGTCTAGCTCTGGTGGTTGCTTTGACTTGTTATTGTGAAGTCTTCTGTCTTTGGGAAGAGGGAGACTCAGTCAGGACTCTGTATATCAATAAAGACATGACTAAGAAAAATAGCCAAGCAATGTACCCGTGCCTGCTTTTGTGGAGGCTGGGTAAATTTTGGCCATTGGTCCGAGTGTAAACACTTGGGTTCTACAAAGAAATGTCAACTTTGTGTCACATCTCATTTTAGTGGGTGGACAGGGTAAATACCGAGTTTAGCTAAACTTGAAGGAGTCAGCCCATATCATGTTCAAGTACTGGTTCCCATATAATCACTGAAATTAAGCAATGTTGTGCCAGGTCAGTACTGAGATAGGTGACTGCTTGGGAATACCAGATGCTGTAAGCTTGGATGTGCGGGTAGTGTAATGAATAATGGCTCAGAATTGTTCATCAGAGAGCCGAGTTTCAATTCCCATTGGTTCTTTATATTTACTTGGAAAAGGTATCAATCCACGTCTTCTCCCCACAGCTATGGGTTAATTATATTTTAATATTGTAAGATTTGTATCACTAAATTATTATTCTCTCAAAAAAAATTCTTACAATCTAAAAATATTTTATGGCTTTAAATAACCTGCAAAGGATTGTTAAGCTGCAGAAAATTAATGAATGAATCAATCAATGTTGTCAGCAATTTTGTTCTTGCACCACTTTTGGGTGCCCACAGTTTTTGATGTGTTTGAAAAAGGATACGCATACTCCATTAGTGCAAGATCCAACAACATTCCAGAAATGCAACTCAAATCTAAGGAAGGATAGAGAATACACAATCAAAACATTGTGAACAAAACAAAGATGGAGGGTGGTAATTAGCTCTATGAAATCCAGATATAATGGTGTCATTCTTATTCAAAACACAGACAGCATAACAATCTGTTAATGACAGCCAAAGCATTATAATACTGACGATATAAACATGTCGACTTTAAAACAGTTCAATGATAGATTATAATCAAGAGAAGTTCTTTCTTTTTTAAAAGAAAAATTTAGCCTTTCTTTTTTCTTATAGAAAAAAATAAGAATTTAAAAAGATTAAAGAAAATATTTTAATCAAGAGAAATGTTTTTCTTTTTTAAAACAAATATTTTTCTTTATCAAAGAAAAAACTATGAATTTAAGAACTTTTACATTTTAATCAATACATTAATTAATACATTTTTTTCCCTTTTTTTAAAAGAATAATTTAAGCTATTTTCTTTCCTGCGGGAAAGAAATATATGAATTTTAAAAATTTAACTTAACTCTAAAAAGAAAAGGTATTCTTTAATTAAAAGAACACTTTTTCTTTTGGGACCAAAAATTAGACAATTTGCTTTTTAGCAAAAAAAGTATAAATTCAAAAATATTTACATTATAATTAAAAGAAAATTTATCTTTTTAAGACAAAAATTTAAGCTATTTTCTTTCTAACAAAAAAGTATCAATTTAAAAAAAATTACATTATAATTAATTGAAGTTTTTTCTGTTTTTAAATTAAAATTTAGGCTATTTTGTTAGCAGAAAAAATAAGAAATAAATAAGTTTTACAAGAGAAGCTTTTTTTTAAATAAAAATTAAGATTTTTTTCTAACAGTTGACCACATGAACAACAAAAATAAACAAAAAAAAACATAAAGATAAATATTTTAGACAAATGTTTCCTAAACATAAAAAGGTTAAAAACCATAATTGAAAAAAAAAATTAAAAACCATGTTTGAAAAAAAAAAATAAAATCCCCCAAAATATGATTGAAACTAAATGTTTTAATCATGGTTTTTAAATAAAATATCAAAGTGCACTCCAAAATGCTTGTTCATACCCAGTAATTATTTCAGATAAAGTTTTGATAAGGAAATATGTGTTTTAATTCTGTGACTGCCCAATTTATCTTTTATCTTTTCTTTTCATCTGCTTTTGATGATTTATTTCATACAGTTGCTTTTGTAATACTTTCTTATATCATTTCTATCTTTCTTGATCACCTGACCTTTTAGTCAAGCTTGCATACATTTGCCTCCTCAAGGTGGGTAATGAGGTGCTTGGGAAGAAATCTCTAGGTTTTCTCCACTTTCCAAGGCCTTTACAGACATTAGTATATCCGTGATATAATATGAGGTGTTTGGGAAGAAAGAAGAAATCTCTAGGTTTTATTCACTCTCCAAGGCCCGCTACAGGCATTAGTATATCCATGATATACTAACATCATATCACTGCAGAAGCAAGGATTAAAATAACTCAAAGAAGTGAATTCCAAAAATGAGTCACGGCTGAAAACATTTTATATATAACTCTTCTTTTTCTATGTGCTATGTCTCTTAAGTACATGGGTGATCATGGCTCTACAAAACTTCCTATCTCTTGTGGCTCTTAGCAGTTTCTCCCCCTTTGCTAAAGCTTCCTCTTCTGTTCTGCCATCCATTGACACATTGTCTGGTAGGTGGCTTGCTGCTTTCCCCTATCTCTCTTGCCTTCAATATACCAAATTTTTGAAGCTCTCCTTCCTCATTATGTGTCCAAGGAATTTCAGCTGCCTCTTCCTGATTCTGAGCATAAGCGTAGTTTTTGTTACCATATTATCTAAGACAATACTAGAATATACAAATATATTATACCAAAGATGCAGTACATACATATATATATATATATATGTGTGTATGTATGTATGTATGTGTGTGTGTGTGCGTGTATATATAAAAAATTATACCAAAGATGCAGTACATATATATATATATATATATATATATATATATATACACACACACACACACACACACACACACACACACACACACACACACACACATACACATATCATTGTTGAGTATTGGGGTGCTCATCAACATTTCCCTCTGTGTGAAATGAGTCCTATGTTGGATCTGAAGAAACATCTGCAGTCACTGTATCATATAGTAAGCAGGTTCAGGGAATAGAGAGCTCTGGTTTTTCTTTGGGCTCTCTTCATCACTTCTATTTGTCTTCTGGTGTTCTCAAAGGACGTTTTTTGTGGATTGCTCTTCTCCAATCTCCCAACTGACCAGATTGATTTCTGTGCTCAGCAAGGAGTTTCTGAGCTGATCCTTGAATCGACGACATGAGGCTCTGCTTGGTCTCTTGCTAGATGTAAACTCTGAGAAGAGGATTTGTTTGGATAGATCGACGTTCAGTCCATTGTAGCTGTTGGCAAGTCCTGATGATTTTTGGCTCTCAATCTTTGCATGAAGGAGAACTTTGTTGCTTGTGATCCAGTCCTGACATGTGTTCCACAGGATTTGATTAAGTTTCATTTGATGGAATCATTCAAGTTTATGGATGTCTCTTCAGTAGCATACCCAAGTCTCACAAGCATACAGCAGAGTTGAGATTACAACAGCATAGACCATGATCTTGGTACAGATATATATATATATATATATATATATATATATATATATATATATAACCAAAAATTACCTCAACATAGGGATAGTCTATTTTCCCCGGGATAAGATACCTTATGCCCACACCAATCACTAACACAAACCCACTCTCATTAACAAGGCGCCTACTAGAGGAGGACTGACTTTGAAAATAAATTTAGGAGAATGCTCCAAGACAATCACTTAGAGGCTGATGATAGACATGTGAAGAATGGTTTGAAATAGACTATCCCTATATTGAGGTCATTTTTTTTTTTTGCTGTAAAAGATACATATGCTCTGTTAAAATAAAAACATGAGCTCTCTGTGGATCAGTATTAATAATTAATATTACTAGGATTCCCCTGGATTATATACCAACGGATTGATTACCTATATATATATATATATATATATATATATATATATATATATATATATATATTACAATGATGTTCATCCTTGAGCCACTTAAGTAGAAGGTTACAGATTAAGAAGATCAGTTTATGGTCATATGTGGGGGTGATAACAGTTGATCTTAGACTTGATCAGTTTGTAATGACCGAGGAAGCATCCACTTGGGAGTATCAGTTCATGGGAAAAAGCTGCATCAGTGGAAGATCTCACCAATGGAATACAAAGGGAATGAGAGTTGTTTGCTATAATATGTGTGGCAATATATATATATAGTACAGGTAAAAAATCTGTTGGTATATAATCCAAGTGGATCCTAGCAATATTAAATATTAAAACTGATCCCCAAATAGAGCTCAATGTATTTATTATAACAGAGCATAAAAATTACACAACAAAGTTCAAAATTACCTCATATGGGAGGTGGGTTATAGATCTATTTCAACCAATGAGAAGTACGTTAGTCTTTTTCAACTCCAGTGTACAGACTGTGTTTGTATCAGAATTAGAAATTTAAAATTTAACTTTGACAGCAGTCAAAAAATTGATACAGAATTCATAACATTTCGATGTTTCAGTCAGACAAAATACCCGAGTTGAAGGTAAGGGGAGGTTACAATTTCTCCCACACAGATTAATCCTAAAATATATAAAAAATGCAAGCAGTGTGTGCAAGGATGAATAATAAAAAAAAAGGCTTATTTGTAATGTCCATAGGAGAGGTACAGCACTGTTATCTTTTCTGTTCTTATTTTGGGTGCATGGTATTCAATTATTCACTGAACTACTGCTGGCTAATATATACATCTGTTTCCTTCAAGGTTGTTATATTCTGTGCTAACAGGAATATGGAATGGACAAACATGGTGGATAAATAGTAACAGGTTTATTGTAGAAACCAGTACACCAAGCAAGGAAGTAGTAGTTATGTGCACGGTTGTCGCAAGTCAGTACAGTTGTGTGTATGCTATTACCAGAAGGCTGCTAGTCTCGCAGATCCCAGCTCAACTCCCCCGTCCGCTGTCCTCATGGATACTTATAGATGGTTACCACCGATAGTGCCACCACTCATGGGGGTGGCAGGTTATCCCATCAAATCAAAGGTCTAAGCAGCAAATGAACTAGCTTCATCAGCTGGCTTTCATATAACCCTCAAGATCCTTTAGGACATTGATAAATTTGTCTAGAAATGGGGTCCCTGAAACATTGGTATCAGACAATGCACTAGAACTGAGGTGGATTGGCTGCTTCCCTTACAAAACACCATCGTATCACCCAAAATCTAATGGAATTGCAGAAAGAATAATGCAAGCAGTAAAAATGGGATTAAAAGAATTTTCTTCAAGTAGAGATATCACAGACAGTTACTTACCAAGGTTACTGCTTAGTTATAGGATGATTCCACATGTAGACAGATTTCAAAGTCCATCTTCATTAATGGGTAGACAAATAAAATCTCCATTAACAATATCTTATTCAACAAATGAAAGGATGTGGTATAAGAAAGACAAAGTAGCAAGTCCTGAGAGAGCTAATTTCATCAGGCAAAAAGGGG